GACTGCCTCATCCCATCTCACTCTACAGTTCTCCAGCCTCGTATGTGGACCCAGTCTCAGCTAGCAAGGCCAAGTAGCTCCTGGGAAAGAGCAGGAGGCAGAGGCCCACTTCTCACAGTAGATGTTATAGGCCTGAGAGCAGACCCCACGTACCAAGGGTAGCAGGGCACAAAGCCTTGTCTGAGAGAATCTGAACCTTTGATGACACAGAGAGCCTAGAACAACATCCTGCTGCCCAGCATCTCCCTAGGAATGGAGCCACTTGGAGCAGGGCTCTCTCCTTCGGCCTGAGAGCACCTCAGTGGGATCCTAACAGAGTCTGAGTGGGGTGTTATGTGCAGAGTCAGCTTCTTGGATGTGCAACCTGGGCCATTGTATCAGGCCTGTGCTTAGTAGGGTCCTGCACTTGGTTTAATGTTCTGCTGTCACAGTTCTGAAGTTCTTTGTGTGTGTGTGTGTGTGTGTGCGCGCGTGTGTGTGTGTATGCATGCACTCATGCAGTTCCGGGGATTGAACAACCCAAGGATTGGTGCATACTAGGCTATTGCTCTACCACTGAGCTACATACCAGCCCATCTATTTATTTATTAAAAGGGTCTCCCAGGACTGGGGATTTAGCTTAGTGGTTCTGCTGCTTGCCTCCCAAGCGCAAGGTCTTAAGTTCGATCCCCAGTATCAAAAAAAAGTCTCCCTAAATTGCCAGGCTGGCCTCAAACTTGTGACCCTCCCCTCCAGAATAGCTGGGTTTACAGGTGTGTAGCACCCCCACCCAGTAGAGATTTGAAATCCCTCATAGCTTATAGACAAGGGGCCTGCATTTCATTCTGCACTGGGCCCTCCTAATCTAATTATTTAATTGCTCCCAGAGATGTAACACATTCTGTTTTGTTTTGTTGTTGTTGTTGTTTTTTAAGAAGTAGGTTTGAACCCAGAGCCTCTGCACTTTGCTCTGAGTTCTATCCTGAGTCTTTTTTTTTTTTTTTTTTTAAGACAAGGTCTCAGTAAATTGGCCAAGAGAGACTTGAACTTATAATCCTCCTGCCTCAGCCTCCCAGAGTATTGGGATTACAGGCATGCAACACCATGCCTGACCTGATGTGACACTTCTTATCTCCATACCCCCTTGTATCACTCAGTGCTTGCTAGAGAAACAGATTTAATGTAAGATACACAAATATACAAGAATTTACAAGAGTCAGGTATGGAAGAGTGCAAAGGGACTGTCTGTGCACCCTGGAGATCTGAAGGATACAATCAAAGACCTGGAGCTCACTGCAGTGTCCTGTCCAAGTCTGTATCAGGAGGCCAAAGGCTCCACACTAGAAGGCTGAAGAGTCTGTGCTGGAAGCCAGGAGATGACATCCAAGATAAAGATACAGACTGGAGCTCCTCCAAAGAAACAGAAGTGAGCCTTCCTTCTTCATTTCCTTTTTATTCCATTCAGGCGACAAGCCTGTAAGTTGGTCCCACTCACACCAAGGGTGGGTCACCTGTCTTTAGTAAATCCCTTCAGCCATCCCTAGAACCATGCTGATCATTTTTTTTTCTTTTTTGGTACCGGAGTTCAAACTCGGGACCTTCCGCTTGAGAGGGAGGCGGCAGCACCACTGAGCTAAATCCCTGGCCCTATGCTGATCCAATTTAGTTGGCCATTTCTTACTCAGTTTGACACAATCAGTTAACTACCACACTCCTCCAGTTTTAAATCTTCACAGCTTCACCTGAAGACTCCAGTCCTTATGTCTCATCTGCAAAACCCACCAGCTTAACTACGAAATGAGAAAATTGCACCATTTATCAACTGTTCTCTGTGGCTACTTTTCAGCGCTGTAAAGAAGCCATCTCTTCCCCCTCATACACACACCAAGCCTGTTTTCGTAAGCAGTGACTTGTCAGTATCCCAAAAGCCACCTCCACAAGGAAACATCCAAACCCCTTTACCTGGTGTTGTGGTTTGAGTTTGAGCCCCAAAAGTTCACATGGTGGAACCTTACTTGGGAGGCAAAGCCCAGAAGGAGGTATTTGGATCCTGGGGTGAAGCCCTCATGGATAGATTAAAGCCTTTCTGTGGAGGAATCAGTCAGTGATTATGGGAGTCTAGCCACTTTAGTTCACATGGGCCCACTTGCCCTTCTGACTTTTGCCACATTATGAAGCTGCACCAAGGCCTTACCAGATGGGGCTGCCCAGTCTTGCACTTCCCAGCCTCCAAAAGTGTGAACCAAAATAAACTCTTTTCTTTATTAACTACTCAGTCTCAGGTATTTTATTATAACAACAGAAAATGGACTAAGACACCTGGGAAGTCAGTATCTCTTTGATAAGTTATTCCTGTCACTTTCCAACCCCACCCCCTTAACTGTCCAATGGGATTCATCCACTTCAGCCAAAATGATGGTGGGAATAATGATAGTAAAATGCACTTGAAAAGTGATTTTTCAGTCAACAATCACGCAGTACAATATTTGATCTTCACAATAATTCTGGAAGCTGTCATGTAAATAATAATTTCCTGAACCCAAATTCTATTGCAAATATAATTGTTGATCAGCATAACATCTAGCACAAAAGTCTACAACTTAAAAGAGTTAATTTCTTGTCATTTATTAAAACTTTTTATTTTGAAATAATTTCAGATTTACAAAATGCTTTCAGTTCCCTTTATTCAAATTCATAGAATGTTAACACTTTACTGTATGTACTTTATTATTCTCTCTCTTGAGACACACACATGTTTATCTGTTTATTTTCCTCATGAGTGGATTCAGAATATTTTATTTTGGCAGGAATCTGACAAATATGATGCTGTGTCTGTCTCTGTTCATTAAATCAGGAAACATTTGATGTGTAATTATCCTGTTACTGATGATGTTGAATTTGATCTCCAAGTTAAGCTGTTATACACCACATTTTCCTTAGGGAAGTTAATCTTCATCCATTTGTAATTATCAGGTATCTATGGCAAGATCTTTCCAGACTATATCTTGTTTTCACCCATAAGACTTTCACACACTAGATTTAAATGCTAAAATTATAATTTTGTTGTTTTTTTTAAATTTTGTTTTGGTGCCGGGAATCAAACTCAGGGCCTTGCATCTGCCAGGCAGGCTCTGTGCCACTGAGCTATATTGGTGGCTAAAATTATAATTTTTAATTGAAAAATTATACACAAGCCAATGGTTTAAAAAAAAACCCTAGACAACATACTGGATAGTACAGTGAGATGTAAGTCTCCTTCTGATATCACATCCTCAGACTGTTCCTCCTATTACTCTGTGTGTGTGTCCATGTGTGTCCCTATGTTCTTGAGGCAGAGACAATGCCACATCATGTATTAGTCACTTTTCTGTCACTGGGACAAAAAACTCCACACCCACAACCTAAAGGAGGGCAGATTTATTTTGAGTCATGGTTTTCAGAGGATTTAGTCCATCATTTATTGACTCCAAGGCAGAAAACCATGGTGGAAGGGTCTGGTAGGGGAAAGCTGTACACTGCCTGGCAGCCAGGAAGCAGAGAGGGAAGGGAGGAGGTGGAGACAAGATCAGGACCCACCTCCCAACAACACAGTCAGCTATGAACTCATCAATGGATGAATATGAGTATGGCTCCCCCATGAGCCCACTTTCAGACACAAGAGTTTTGGAGGGACTATTTTATTTGATTTGTTGTTTGTTTTGAGACAAGGTCTTGTTATGTAGTTTAGGCTGGCCTTAAACTCACTGTATAGTCCAGGCTAGCCTCAAACTAGCAGCAACCCTTCTGCCACAGCCTCCTGAGTGCTGGGATTACAGGCGTGCACAACCACACCTGGATTGAGAGACATTTTAGATATAAACCTAATATATGATATTGAACCCCAGCTCATCTTTTTTCTGGGCATAAATGACAGCAGTGTTTTCTACTCAGCTTTGCAGTAAGTCTAGGATAATGAGACTAATTGTGACTCAAGGGCTCTGAATAGAAGTGATACATATACTCTTGAGCCAAAGCATTTAATGTCAGTCCCTGGCTCTCCAAGTCTCCCTGCCTTTGCAGCCACAGTGATGTGGGACATGCATTTCCATGGAACCACAGGAAGGAAACAACTTAGATGCCCCAGGCACACATGGAGAACAGCTGCCCTGAACAGTTGCCCATAGTGCATCAGGCAGGTGCAAGCACATCTTTGCTGTGGTTAGGAGCTGAAGGTTCAAGTTAGTACATTGTGACCCTATCCTAATAAACTCTTTCCAGAAATGTTCTTCACATATTCAGAAATATGTATTATATAGTTTTATTATCTGTAAGTAGCCAGATTGTGAAATATTCTATATTTCCTCTTTGTTACCCTAGGCAAATATCTTTGACTTTGTTGGGTTTTATGTTTTTGTTTGTTCATTTGTTTTTTGAGACAAAGTCTCCCTTATGTAATCCAGGCTAGACTTGAAGTAACTATATAACCCCGACTATCCTCGAACTAGTGGTGATCCTCATGCCTCAGCCTCTAGAATGCTCAGATCACAGGTATGCACAACTACACCTGGCAGAGATTTTTCTACATCAAAATATATAGCTCATTCTTTCCAAAATTTACAAAATGCTCCACAATATATGCAGGTACTTCAATATATTTAGGACGTACATTTCCTTAATTTAATTTTTTTAATAGATCTTACATACTATTATGGTTTGGACTTGAAATGTCCCCCAAAGGTCATGTGCTAGCTGATCAATTTTCTGTCAAGTAATTGGATTGTAGGGGTCTAACTTCACCCAGTGTATTGACTCATTTTTTGTTTGTTGTTTGTTTTTGAGATAAGATCTCACTATGTAGCCCAGGCTGGCCTCTAACTCACAGCTATCCTCCTGCCTCAGCCTCCTGAGTACTGGGATTACAGACATGTGCCACCATACCCAGCATAGTGGGTATATGGACTCAGTGATGAGATCATAATTCAGTGACAGGATTAGGAGGTAATGGAAATGGGAGGTGGGGCCTAGCTGAAGGGAGGAGATCATGGGGCATGACCTTGGTGACTATATCTGTCCCAGGCCCAGTTTTTTCTGGCTGTTTCCCTTACTCTCTGCTGCCTGGCTGTCTGAGATGAGCACCTACCCTCTACTATGCCCCTCCGCCACAAAAGCAATGAAGCCAAGTAACTGTAAACTGAAACCTCTGAAACTGTGAGCCAAAATAAATCTTTCCTTCTTTAAACTGTCCCTCTCAGGTATTAGGTCACAATGACATAAAGTCAACACACACAAACACACACATACACACACACACACACACACTCATGGTTTTAAACTAAAAGTATATGTGAAAAATTCTCCCTCCCACTATTGTCCTGAGCTAACAAATGCCCCATGAGAGGTACCCAACATTTCCTGTTCCATGTGTATACTTCCAGAGAGAGATACATAGCATACATAGCATATTATACATAGCATCGTTATTTTTTTCATACCATGTTTAAATGGACCTCTCTTGGCCTTAGCTAAGACTCCAAAACAATAAGACCACATTTCAACATTAAGTGCAAATCCATGAACACAGGACTTTCAAAGGAAATTCTAGAAAACTAGTTTTCATCGGGTGTGGTAGCACATGCCTGTAATCCCAGCATTTGCGGGGCTAAGGCAGAAGGATTGCCATGAGTTCAGAGCCAGCCTGGGCTACATAGTGAGTTTAAGCCCAGCCTGAACTACACAGCAAGACCCTGTCTCAAAAAAAAACATAAAAAAAAGAAAGAAAGTTTTCATGCTTAGCTTACCACCTCCATCCAAAAGATGTTAGAAAAAGTAAAGGAAGATTCTAAGTAAAGAAGATTAAGTTTTAGAGAAAAGTATTGATAGAGCCGAGGATGTCACTCAGTGGTAGAATATTGCTTAGAGGAAGCTCCATATTGGTGTCATTGCCAGGACTCTAACTCCACCCCTAGGGTGTGGTGCCTCAGTTTATGCTAATGTAAGGAGTTCTACTGGGATCACCTAGTAGAACACAGTATATGTTCCTTCCAATCTGAGAGGCACAGTGGGCTGTGCCTGGATTATGCTTGGGATATTAAAAAGACAAAGGTTGGTACAGCCATCCTGTGGGGCTAGAAATGAGGCTTTGGTTCAGAATGCAGCAGCACTCAAATGATGGGTTAAATTTACCTATTTTCCTAGTACAGATATGCCACACACATGAGTTCTGGAGAAGAGTTGTCTTAGATTCCATCCAGAAAAGCTGCCTGGGGAAGTGAGTGGACTTTGGTAGAAAGAAGGTAGAGGTAGATCACCAGATGCATGCCTAGGGTATCAAGAAGGAATTATAAACAAATGACTATAAGAGCACTACCTTCATCTGTGCAAAATAAAATGTGGAAATGAGAGCCTCAGTGATACAAGAGCTTTTAAAAACTCAGAAATATAACCCACACAAAGAGAAAAAAGTTAGCCAGCCATGGTGGTGCTTCCTTGTAACTCCAGCACTCTGGTGCTCTGGGAGGCTGAGACAGGAGAATCATAACTTAGAGCCCAGCCTGAGCAACCTAGGAAGACCCTGACTCAAAAAATAAATAAATAAAAAGGTTGGGAATATATCTCAGTAGTATTAGTTGATAATTATAATAAATGAGTATGTGTTGGTTTATGTATTTATTGTACTTTATACCTATACTTTTATACTATGTTGATTAAAAACAATTTTACTATGTAGTGTGCTGTCTTTTGCTGCCAGCAGCCTGTTACATCTCATGTTTTTCTTGTTGTTGTTTATTTGTTTGTTTTTGAGACAGAGTCTCATTTATATTTAAAGCTGGCCTTCAATTCACTATGTAGCCCAGGCTGGCCTTAACCTCACAATGATTCTCCTGCCTCAGCCTCCCAAGTGCTGGAATTAGAGGTGTGCGCCATCATGCCCAGGAGAGTATTCCTTCCCTTTCAACTTCATTAAAGGGCTCAAAGAATATGAGTGTTAGATCTTCCCTGAAGTTTTTGTAGAATTCTGCAGTGAATCTATCCAGACTTGGGCTTTTCTTAGTTGGTAAGTTTTTATTATTATTATTATTATTATTATTATTATTATTATTTACTGCCTCAATTTCATTGCCTATTATTGGATTATTCAGAGTTTCTGAATCTTCTTTATTCAGTTTTGGTAATTTATATGTATCTAAGAATCTATCCATTTCTTGTGAAGTCTCTGATTTACTGGCGTACAGATTTCTGAAGGGGTTGTTAATAGTCATTTTGATTGTGGCAAAGTCAATTGTTATTTTATCTTTTTTTTTATTGGTACATCTTAGATATGCATAATGATAACATTTATCATAGGGAATTTATACCTGTACATGATATATCTTGATTCTTCTTTTTTTCCCATTCCCCTCCCCTCCCTTCAATGCCCCTTTCCTCTTTCTCTCCTTATTTACAAAAGGTTTGTTTGAATTTTTTCCCTCTATTCTCTTTTTTTTCCTGTCTCTTCCTTCCTTTCTTCCTCCCCCTCACTTGTTCCACTTCTCATTTGAACGTAATCTTCCCATTTCCCAATATCTACTATACATTTTGATCCTTATTTACACTTTCGGTTTCTCACACCAGAGAAACAATGCAGTATTTAAAAATATATGTCTGATTTATTTTACTTAAGAGTATGGTCTCAAGGTGCATCCATTTAGCTAGAAATGTCTTAAGCTTATCCTTCTTTATGGCAGAGTAGTACTCCATTGTATTAAAAAAACCAAACATCTTAATCCATTCATTGGTTGATGGGCATTTGGGCTCTTTCCAAGATTTAGCTATTACAAACTGTGACGCTATGAACAGGAGTGTGGATATATCTCTGTGGTAGGGTGCTTTTAATTTTTTCAGGAAGATACCAAGAAGGGGAATATCTGGGTCAAATGGAACCTCTAGTTTTAGTTTTTCTGAGGAATATCCACACTGATATCCACAGTGGCTGCACCAGTCTGCACTCCCACCAACAGTGGAAAAGGGTTCCTTTTCCCCACAGCCCCTCCAGTATTTGTTATTGGTTGATTTCTTGATAACAGCCCCCCCCTTTTGCCATTTCTACTTCTTCATCTGAGAAGTATCTATTCATTTCAGATGCCCATTTTTGGATTGGTGGGGGAGTCTGATTTTTTGAATTCTTTATATACTCTAGATAGTAGTTCTTTGTCTGAGGAATAGCTGGCAAACATTTTTTCCCACACTGTGGGTTATCTCTTCACTCTGTTGCTGGTTTCTCTTGCTGTACAAAAGATTTTTAGTAAGATGAGATCCTAGTTGTTGATTCTTTGTGATAGCCCCTGCGCAATCAAGGCCTTCTTCATAAAGTCTTTGCCTATACCAATGTCACTGAGAGTTCTACCTATTCTATCTTCCAGCAGATTAAGTGTTTCTGTTTTAATATTTAGATCTGTAATCCATTTTGATTTGAGTTTGGTGCAGGGTGAAAGATATGGGTCTAATTTTAATCTTTGGCATGTAGGAAGCCAGTTTTTCCAGCACCATTTATTAAAGAGGCTATCTTTCTTCCAGTGAAGGTATTTGGCTCCTTTGTCAAAAATAAAGTAGCTGAATATGTCCAGAGTTTCTTTTCATGATCACTAGGCACAATCCTGTCTTTCCATATCTGATATTCTGTCCTGACATTGGCTCATTCTCCTGTGCATACTTTCAATGGAATTTTTAATCTCCTAGCTATCTGTTTGAATCTGATTCATGGATTCCATTTCTTTCCTATGTTGGGCATTCATGGTTTCTATCATTTTCCTAAGGCCCTCTTTTTT